TCTTTCTTGGACAAAACTTGCAATCCTTTTTCACTCATATGTCCAAGCCTTCTATGCCATAAATCAGTGGATGAGTCATTCTCTAAGGTATTCACAACACCCTTGCAGATTTTTGCTTGCATAGTGTAAAGAGAACAAGTCTTCTTTCCTTTTGCTACCACTAGAGAACCTTTGGAGAGCTTCCATTTTCCATTACTGAAATTGTTGATGTAGCCTTCATCATCTAACTTTCCAGCAGAGATTAAATTGAGTCAAATATCTGGTACATGCCTCACATCTCTAAGCAGCAATTTGCATCCAATATTTGTTTCCAAGCAAATGTCACCCATGCCGACAATTTTTGACACATCTTCATTTCCCATACGGACATTCCCAAAATCACCTTGTGAGTAAGAAGTAAAGAAATCAGCCCGCGAAGTAACATGAAATGAAGCTCCAGAATCAATTACCCAATCCGTCTCTTGGCCAATCAAATTAACGCTAGCATCATCACGGATAATCATGAGTTCATCATCGGTAACTACAGTTGTATCAATTTGCTTTTTCTCTGAATTTTTCTCTTTGTTCTGCTCCTTGAACTTGAGTTTTCTACATTCCCGCTTCATGTGCCCTTTCTTGTGACAATAATAGCATTCAACATCCTTTTTTGACATCGAGCTTGAACGACCTCTAGATTTATCACGGTTGTGCGGAACCCTACTCTTACTCCTGCCTCTCCCCCGGTTTTCCATTACAAGTGCCTCGGAGTAAGAAGAACCTGATGATTTTCTTCTTGTTTCTTCATTCAACAAACTGCTGATAACTTGACTCATTGTTACCACTCCATCAGGTGCGGAGTTACTAACTGTGACCACCAAAGTTTCCCAGCTTTCGGGAAGTGAACTAAGAAGTAACAAAGCTTGCAACTCATCATCAAAAGTAATTTTCATGGCGGCCAACTGATTCACAATGCTCTTAATCTCATTCAAATGCTCTGCAATAGAAGTACCCTCCTTATATTTAGAGTTCACAAGCTTTCGAAATAAAAAAGCTTTATTCACTGCCGTCTTTCTATCATACAAACTCTCCAATTTGGTCCAAAGACCATGTGCAGATTTTTCTGTAGAGACATGATGAAAGACACTATCATCAATCCATTGCCGAATAAAACCGACAGCTTTCCGGTCTAGCTTTTTCCACTCGTCATCTTTCATCCCTTCCGGTTTGCCACTATCACCCTCTATGGGTCCATTCAAATCTTTACAAAATAAAAGATCTTCCATTTTAGTTTTCCAAGTCACCCAATTTGTGCCATTGAAACTAACCATACGTCCAACGTTGCCGTCCATAATTCACACACAGAAATATAACGAATCGGAACCGAATTAACCAATTGCTCTGATACCAGATGTTGGGAAAATAGGCTTTCCCACAAGTGTAAATCAATGGAAGCAATATAAATAAAATAACAGAAAATAAATAAGCACACAAGATTTACGTGGTTCCCTCAAATAACTTGAGGTACATCCACGACAACCGGTAGGTCAGTTTCTTCCACTATCACCAAATCAGATTACAAAGTGGTCAAAAGACATAAGCCTTACAAACACACCAAGGTGTAAATCACAAGAGGAAAATACCTCACAAAATAAGTGAACCAAATCTCCAAGAACAAACCGCAAGAAACTCAAATATCAAGTGAAGAAATGTTACCCACTTGAAGAACAAATTTGCAGATTTTTCTGGCACCAAAAAGGAGAAGAAGAAGACTGAATTTTTGTTGAACCAAAGACTGCCGAAAATATGTCTTCTTGCCTAACCAACCGAGAAGAGATGAACCAAAAAAAAGGACAAAACTTATAGTCTTTGGTGACTGCCAAATTTCTTTTTAACTAGAAAACTCCAAACCAAGCCTTGGATTAGAGTCATACACGGGTAAGTCACCAAAAAATTAACGAATTGATGAGTCCCACAAAGGAGGGAAACCCAACACAAAGGAGCATCACAAGTGATGGGATTTGACAAAATGAACAGGTTGTGGTCATAACATTCCACGAGAACCCAGTCGGTGACAAACTTTGACCTGAAAGTTCAACCTCATCTTGAAGGCCAAGTCACCTCCTCGAGTATCGAGTCTAGGTTGTATCTGGGCAAAACTCACATTTATTTAACTAATTGCTTAGGACACCTGTGGCATAATGTGTGAATCTCGTACGAACATGGTTGTAGATATACACATCTGGAGCGAATTATTAGATAGCTCGACTTCTTTCATTTCAACCATTGTTTTTTTCACTCATCCCTTTGTGATATTAGTACTGGTCACGCGTGCACCTCAAATTTAGCCCTCCACTTGTACTCTTTAACAAGTTTCAATCAACTCCAAATTTTTTCCCAATGTTTTCAGTAACTTGCTCTCAAATAAGAGAAGCTCAATCTCGTTACATGGCGAAAGACTCCCAAGTTCCACTCACACTGAAGTAATCTCACGTTATGTTGTGTCGTATGGAAACAAGGAAGGGTTCACGACCATCCTGGATATAGAATAGTTTACCGACATGAAGGAATCTTCTGGAGAAAAGATTGAGGTGGCAAGTCAACAAAGGGGTCAAGGTAAGTCACAACTAGCCATTACTTTCGCCAAACCAAAGGGGTGTATACTGTCATCTTGGTTGAAGAGGTGGTAAGAGTGAAATCCTAAGAGAAGTTCTGAATGAACAAGAAAGACAAGTGGCGTAGGCAATATCTCTATCAACACTAGTGGTAGAAGAAAACAAAAGAGTGTGACATTTCAACAAATTGGGCAAATATTCGGTTAAATCAGGGTATTGAGTGGCTAGAATGGGAGAGGAAGATACCATAGTTTGCAATGAAGGAACATCTAGCTCCACACAACCAGAGCTATAGAACCATGTATGGAAACTCAAAACCATTCCGAGGATCCTATGTTTCTAGTGAAGAATCAACACAAATTCTCTAGCGACACAAAGAAAATCTGTTCAAGAAAAAATGTGCCACAACCCCAATATGCCAGCTTTGCAAGAATCAAGCGGAAACAATTGAACATCTATTGTTCTCGTGCAACTGACTTTGTCAACGGATCGAGTATGAACTGATTTGTCATATATTCGAATCTGATTAAGATTAAATTTTTTATTGAACTTATCCGATCCAATTATCTAATAAATTTGAAAAATTCAATCTATGTCCGAATTTATTAATTTTTGAATACCCGATTCAAAAATTCAATCCGATTCGATTATCTGAAGAATCTAATCAAAAAATTTGACCAAATCCGATTATCGCAAAAAAACACTTGTGCACTAAAAAATTAACAATAAGAATTTAGATAGTAAAATAAAAAAGGAGGGAAAATGAAAAATTAAAGTGAAAGAAAAGGGAAAAACAAAATAAGAAAGGGAAATAAAATGAAAATAGAAAAAGTGGGTCTTACATTGTGATATTCACTCCATTTTTTTACTTATTTTCCAGTATAAATATAATATAGGTGTGATATTTATTGTATGTAATATATTTTTTTATTCGAATCGGATTATTATAAATTCATATACAAATCCGTTTAGACAAATTCTAATTGAATCGGATCAGATTGAATCGAGTCAAATCAAATTAATGGATTGAAATTATGAACCACACTTGCTTAAACATATTCGAATTCGGGTTAAAATTTGATCCATTTTTGACAAGCTACATGCAACTGGACACACAGGGTGGGGTTTGAGTTAGATCTAGGGTATACGGTTGGAGATAAACCAATTATCTCTATACAGAATTGGACAAAGTGGTGATGACAATATGGATAATTTGGAAGTCAAGAAATGAAGGAATCTTTAACAGTTGAGAACCCAACTCAATTGCTACAGTAATGAATGTTTTACAGATATAGAGAGAGCATATTTTACATAGAATCCAACAAGAACCTCACTCAGCTAATTCAGATAGAACCTCAAACTCCATAGTATAGTATGGTTTAAGTCCAAATCCCTTGCAGCAGAAGTGACCATGAATGCAATAGTGGAAAGTGAAAACCAAGAGGTAATTCTTCTAAGCACTAGAGAGGGGGTTTCACTATTGAAGATTGAAGCTACAATTGAATATATCAGAGAAGGTTCTAAATTATTAAATTTATATAATTTTCTATATTTCAAACTTTTAATGAAGCAGTTCATTGGGTAGCCAAAGTCGAACTAACCCATTCTCCACCAACAAATTGGATAGGCTACATATCACATGAGTTAAGGGATATTTTACTTCTTGATTGTAGCCGCCGGCCCATGAGTACTCTCCAATGAAATACAAATACCCCAGCACGACACCTTTAGGAGCTTTTTGACAAAGAGGCCCCCGGCCCCACTCTCTATTATGTCTCTCCTCTAATTCTCCGTAGCATATACTTTCTCTGTGTGTCCTCAATTGGAACACGAATCAACCCATATATCCATGCAACTAAGTCCCCATCTACACGCTACTGGGCCCTTTCCCAATTCGATCCTCCTCTGCCAAAAGAAGATCTCCTCACCTTCTCGAAATATCGCTATTTTTTGTATTTCTATTTTTTTGTTTAATATATTTTATTTGTTTTTAAATTAATAATTAATAATTTAAATCAAATTTCAAAATACAGTGTTTCACGGCATGTTTATAGTTTTTTTTTTTTTTTGTGAACAAGGTGGCATGTTATAGTTGAATTAGGTTAAAATAACCATCAAAACGTTAGATCAGTTAGTGAGGGACTTTTTTAGCTTAATTAAAGTCTCAAGTTCGAATTTTAGAAATGCAGCTGTGTTCGATAAGAAGAGCTTTACCGCCCTTTTGTGGTCTTACCTGGCTCGAATCCGAATTAATCGTTTTTAGAGTCAATGAAGTAATAAATCATTTGAATTGAAAATTCAAAAACTTTATTTTTTGAATGCGACTTCCCCCATTTATGAAGGATAAAAAAAAAAAAAAAACCCACTTCCTTAATTTTCACAAAATAAGGTTTAAGAAGTGGTTCGTGTAACACATTGAAAAAATGCCCCTCCTCTTATTCTGTCGAAAATCAAGAGTTGTAATTCGGAGCAAACAATAACATACTGCCTGTATGTTATACACAGATCAAATCAAATTAAATCAAGCACCACCCTCATATAAAACGGCACTGAGCATCACATAGTAGTTGTCATGTGCGTTGTCTGGAGATTTAAACATGTAAAAAAGATAATTTTAAGGAAACGTTAAATGTGATTTAATTTAATGAAAGTAGTAGTATTAGGAATTCTTGAAGAATCTTGGATTGGATGGACGAAGGTCGATCTCTTGGGTCCAAGCAGTCCGGTCCTGATTGTGCAAGAGCCAGTAGGTGTGAGCCAGCGTATCCGGGTCCATCGACCCGTCTCCTCCTCCTCCACTCTGCTTGTGCTCCCCGCCCAACGATTTCTGCGGCAAACTCGAGGTCGTTGCTGTTCCCCTGCAATAATTTTTTGCCACCCCTACATTATCAAATCCTCAATTTACCATGCAGTAATACAAATATACAATCAAGGAGATGTGTTAGTCAATGAACATGGCAACGAGTCAACTCAGAGCACGCTGTACACTCGGGCCGACATTTTAAATTCGACTCTTCCTACTGTCTCCTATGATTAATCGATACCTTAAAACGAGCCTTGCCATGAAAATATACTTCTGTCACTGAAAAAATTGAAGAGAGTGACGTGCTAAAATGTCTTATAACACATGAAATGGAATTGAACTACTCGATATATTCGAGATAATTATTTTTCTAATGACCTAAACACCCCAATTGTTATGGTACTAAAACCGGAATATACAATTTGATGATGTTTAAATTTATTCATGATAATTATACTATTTTAAGATCAATCATAACACATTATAATAACTTGATTCTATTGAATATAACGTCCCAATAAATTGTGACTATTCTTACGCATCCTATCGTATTAGACACTATACTTACATATCTATATCCCTCCTTCTGGTAGGCATGATATAAAGTGTGAACGTAAATTTCCTTTGTGATCAGAAATCGAAGAAAGGAACAAAAAAGTTGTATAAAAGGTGTCAGATTCTGAATCTTGGGAATCTTAAAAGGACAAACCTTGGTGCTCCGACGATGCCGTCGATGATGACATGCGCCACGTGTACTCCCTGAGGTTGAAACTCTCTTGCCAAGCATTGCGATAAGGCTCTTAAAGCAAACTTCCCACAACCTAAATATCTCATGGATAAAAGCTTCTTAAATGGTTGTGGAACACCAAAAAAAAAAATCACTATTTCTGCTCAATAACATCATAATTTTCAGACCTAATATATTATCACTATTGAATTTAGCAAGGGACCTCAATGAATACTGAAACTTATTATCTAACGAAATGATGGTGAGTGATTAAGTGAATAAATTAAGATTATGTTCGTTTTTGTTCTGTTAATCACAATTATGAAGAAATAAAGCAAGTTTACATACATAATTCAGTGAAGCCAGCAATGCCGTTGAGGGACATAGAGCACCCAGTAAAGAGAATCGTCCCTTTTCTTCTCTCCACCATGCCCGGAAGCACCTTTCAAGTTCAATCAGCAAAAAACCATGCAGATTCAATTACAAACTTCAGTTCAAAAAATGTACACCCAGAGAGAGAAGATCAAATTCATAATTAATGGAAAAGAGATTGAGATTTGAGAAGGAATTTGGAGAACCAGTTGGGCGCAGTGAAAGGCACCGACGGAAGAGACGGCCAGGGATTTCTCGAATGACTCGACGCGAATGTCTGAGAAATTGGCAGGGTGAAAAGGGACGGGTTTGTATGCATTGTAGACTAAAACCTCTACAAACCCTAGAGAGAGAACGCCCTCGAATGCCTCTCTGATGCTTCGAGAGTCCGAGCAATCGATGCGTATCGCGAACACCTGTGCCTTCTCTTCCCTCGCTATCTCATCAGCAAATCTCGACAATCTCCCTGCAAGGATATATACATCATATACGTGTTAATTAGTTAGAGAGAGCAAGAGAGAGAGAGAAATGGGATGGGACTCACCGAGGTCGCGGGCGAGGATGGCGACGGTGTAGCCTTCGTGGGCGAACTTACGGGCGATGGAGCGGCCGAGATTGGGACCGACGCCGACAATGGCGGCGATGCCTCTTGAAGAGACTGAGCTCGCCATGCTTCGCATCTTAGATATCTAGCCCAAACTGAGAGAGAGAGAGAATGAAAACCGTAATGTTTTCAACCCTCCTTTTCTCTTCAGAACCGAAACGGTGAAGACGGCAGTGGCGGTGACTGATCTGAGGATGGAACTATACTCGCCGTCGACACTGCTTGAGTCTCTCTCTCTTACATGAGATGCAGAAGAAGACGGGTAAGGGTTGGGCTTTGAGTTTTGCGTCTCTTTATAGGTATTACCAGGAGCCCATGGTCTCAGATTCACATTCTGTGTGTTTGGGTAAATTAATGTGTGTTTGGGTAAATTAATGTAGGATTGTGTAAACTCCATGGTACCATCATAGATGTTATAATTACTTGTAATTTTAATTTTTAATGATTATGAATGGGGGATATAACACACAAGACCAATTGTATAGTCACGAAGAATTGGCAGACTGAATCGAGCACAGATTTCAAATTCAACAAAGGAATTTTGATCATTTTAATGCACCAACCACATGCTATTACGATCGCTCAGAGACCATCTTATTGAGTTTCTTTTATTTTTGATGTAAAATTGAAAAAAAAAATTATTTTTTTTAAAAAAAAAAGTGAAGACCCGGCAAGCCCTAAGTCGTCAGGTGTAATCAAGTCTTCACGAGGATTTATTTTTTGTAAATGAAAGATAATACGGAAGCGTGAGCTAATGACTGTTGCTGCAAGTTGGTTAGTGGCAACTAAAGGGCGCATGTATGCCACGTCGACAGTTAAAAGTGCAACTTTTTCCTTGTCCTTTCCATCCAACGATCATCATTCCACGTATCCCATATCAAATCTATTTAATATATATCTAATATTATAATGAAAAAGTCATTCCAGGGGCTCCGTAGGTTTATGTAATCTATATCTATATTTATACTATACTATTTATAAATATCAACATTTGAGAAAAAATTTTAATTTTTTATTTCATCCATAATTATTATATTAAAAATAATTATAGCTAAATAAATTTTAACTAAATAAATTTTATCTATATGACTTCTAAATTTTTTTGCTGAATAAATTTTATCACTAATATACCAATTTTTTTGTTAGATAAATTTTATCATTATATATTAGCTGGATAAAGTTTATCTCTATGACTTCCAAAATTTTACATTCAATTCGACAAATTCAACTAGAATTCTAATGTGATGCGAAAAAAAATTGCTATTTTTTAGGTGATAAACACAACTATCAAAAATTCATTATTCATTGTTATATAAGAAAATATTAGAAGAGTAAAGAGGTAAACTCGTATATGATTCTTTCTTTCATATCTATTGTACTTCCAAAATATTTTGAACAACTTTATTAGAAATATATATAGGTAGATATAGGAAGATATACTTATATCTCTCCAGTAACTCTATTAATATATTTAATCTTATATCCCTGCAGTAATTTTTTTTTTCAAAATCTTTTAAAATTAGTGGTCTTGCATCTCGATACCCTTGACGTTAAGTATATTATGGCTGTGAAGAATAGTGGGTCGACGGTGCTTGGTGTTGTCAACCTGTGAGCCTTTTTTTTTTTTTTTTTTTTGTCAGGACATGCCTACTGCTGGTATGATATTTTCTTTACTTTGTTTACCATCTATTTGGGTATGACTATTGCATAAATGCTTTATTTACCTTGCAACAGTTTTTGTAATTTGAATTAAAATTAATTTGTATTCAATTGAATTGGTGTTCCCATAAAAGTAACAATGAACGCCCAAAACAAAATACTTTTCATAGAATGAAAAGTTTAATCTGTTAAACTAATCTTATAATATTTAATTATTTATTATTAACAAATTTGTGGTATTTTAGGAGTTATTATATTATGAGTAGAATTAGTTTTGTTACTATACTTCTTGAATTCATTTGATGGTAGAATAGTTTTAAATTAATAAATTGTATTTAGGAGTTTTTTTGATCTTATGTTATAATGCCAAAAATTTTTATTGGATTCACAAAGTCATTGAATGCATATATCAATAGTCTTTTATTTCGTCAACTTCATACACTTTGTATTACTAAAAAATATAATCTAAATTTTATGTTCTAACTTTTTTATTACTAGTATCTATAAATATTATATTTATTATTTTACATGGATAGTATAGTTTTTAAATTAAGTGAGATCTTCTTATTTACTTGTTAGTTTGGTATTAGATTGTGACACCACTTGACATGATATCATCCCTATTTTCAATTTTTTTTTTGTATTTAATACACCGCTGAAAAATCTCAAATTCTAACCAATCTTCTTTGTCGGTACTTCCTACAGGTAAACTCTTTCTCTCTCTTCTCCTCTCTTCACTGCTCCACTCAGTGTTCGGTGGAATGGGACAGCACAGGTTTCTACACGAGCTTATTTAAACAAAATCTAGATTTGTATAATTGATTTGTATCTTTATATAGATTTCACATATTTCTACAAAATCGTCTTCTACCCAAGCTTATTTCTACACACACAGAGATATTTAGAATGGGAAAAATCAATTGCTTTTATGGGTTTCGTTGATTTGTTTTGTTTATTGTGGAATGGAAAAAAAAAAATATGTTTCGAAATATTAAAAAGAGTTAAAAAAAAAAAGTTTCGGAGACCAAAAAAAAAACTCTTGTTATAAGCTGAGAATTTTTGAAAAAGATTTGGGTCATAAAAAAAATTTATCTATTAGAGAAGTTTATACAAAATTAAGTTTTTTATTTTTTATTTTTTATTTTTTACTCAAATTTGGGTAAGGCTATGATGTCCATTGGAGATGGTCTAACCCATGTTTGGTTTTTAAGCAAGAGGATTAAATAATTGGGTTATTCCCATCCCAATCTGAATAATGAATTTTACCTTATGCATGGAGGCTTAAATATACTAACCAGGGGTGGGTTTCAAAAAGGTTAATTGAGATTAGGATTTAAATTACTAAAATGTCGTTGCATTGAATAAAAATTGAGTTGAATGAAGGGTATTATAGTCAAAAGACAATCCATATTGTGGGGCCCACGTCTTTTTCCTATTTTCCCTCTCTCTCTTACATCCTCCACAGTTATATCCAAAACAAGAATGACAACTCCTTGCTACGAAAGAACACACAAGTGGCGAAAGATATGTATTATTTCTTTAAATACAAATTATTCTTATAGAGAGTGCTACAATATCTTGGATTGCTTTGTGTAATTGTTTAAAACAATTTAATCACAAATTTTTAAAATAAAAGAATAATTTCTTGATTTGTGCGTGTCATTCTTATGCAGCAGCAGTGCTAATTTTCTTTATATCGTTTTAATTTTATCGGATATTTATAAAAGGATAACGTTAGCAAGTCACTTTCATTATCTTTTACTGTGTGGTGATTGGTGATGCACATACAAGGGAAGAAAATTGGGGGATGATTGAGTAGTAGTAGTATGCAGTCATTTTCGAGATATTCCACTAGTGATCTTTTGCTTTAAAAGATGTCACATTCCCTTGGCATCACGCCGATAGCGAAAAGTAAATATAGACAAGCAAAGTATTAATGACGATTTTTGAAGTTACACAGTATCCTCTGTTGCAGAATTTTGTGGATGAAGTGTATCAAAGTTAGCTAAGAGGGGTTGTGATTGACAATCGTCGGAGATGACGGTAGAGTTGGTGGTGCCGCCATAGTGGGTGGTGGTGAATGTGGTCACGGTAGCAATTGACAACAACCGGAGTAAATGAGTGGGGGACTAGTATAGCAGATGATTAGCCATCAGAGTCTTTTGAGCAAATGATTGGGGAGAGCATAACTACTACACATTTCTTTCATCACTATTAATTGTTGATGTAAAGGGGACCCCATTTTCCAATATCAACTCTCACTCTTTCATGAATCCCTCTGGCCACCAGCTAAGGTTCCTCACATTCCTGAATTTAGATCCTATCATTTTCAAATTATATATGACCATTGAGATAAATTTAATTAGGGTGTCAATTCGTGTCGTGTTGTGTAATTCGTATGTCAGTATTTTTGTGTTGTGTTCGTGTCAAAACTAACAAAAAAAAATAATTTATTTAATGTCTTCTAAATGTCAAACATAAATTTAGACCATTTATTATGTTTATTTAATAATCATGTCAGTCAGACTCGTGTTGTCAAAGTTGACACCCTTAAATTTAATAGCTATGATTGTAATGTATCGGAGTGATGAAAAAATGGGACCTAGATATCATCAAATACTTTTTTCTCTTTAATTCTCTTATAGACATATCAAGGGTAAAATACATTTTTAGTCCCTAAAGTATGCGTGCAGTGTATATTTGATTTCCAATCTTTCAATTGTGTTTAATTAGTTCCTAAAATACTTTATTTTTATCTATGTGATTAAATTCCAAACATCCGTTGTAAAATCGTGAATGTCGCTGGTCGTGCGTCAATCATGTGGTTCCTAATATTGGATCTATATGGTCTTTAAAATTTTTAATTTGTATCTATTTGGTCTCACATGATTGGTGCATGACTAGAGTCTAGAGGTGTTAACGATTTTCTGTCAAACGTTTGGGATTGAACAACGTTGCTACAAATTAGGAACATTAGAGACCAAATAGACAATACACACTTACTTTAGGGACTAAAAATGTATTTTACACCCTTAAATCAATTGTATACCTTAAGGGCCAAATAAACAATTTACTTGATTTTTATTTTTTTTCTATTTTTTTTGCTAGGTGATCGTCGCAGACTTGGTAAGTGGAGGAACTATGATCAACGATCAAGTTCAAGTGAGTCATTTTTGTTATGAAATTTGACCAGGAACGTTCATTTTGAGTGAGATTTGAAAAGTTAGAAGGTTCAATTGAAATAGAATTTTTGTTTACGAGGGCTAAATTTTGCTAAATTAAAACTAGTATATAATTTAAGGGCCAACTTGATTGTTTATTTGTTTCTTTTGGTTGACAGACTTTATATTTGGTATTACCAATTTTATTTAAATTTAATTTGACGGCCTAATTTGTGAATCTAGTTCCTTAAGGTTATTAAATATCATCAATAAATTCTAAGACAAATCGTAGTTTGTTTATTGAAAATTTTTTTTATTCTCAATTTACATTCTCAAAAATCAAAATTCTCAATTTACATTGAGCTTGTTGAAGACCCTACCCCGAAAAGGCAAAGAGTTGCTGAGTTCGAGGCAAACCTTTCTCCCAAACCAGTTATTCCTCATTTTCGTCCTGTCCTTAGGGCGAAATGGAGAGAGATTACTGCAAAGGACTCCA